TTTTGGGTTATGCCTCCCAAAATTTGCTTTTTTTGAGTCTGTCTCATAAAATTCATAAACTTTCATGAAACTTTTTTCTCCTTTAACTACATATTTACAAATATCTTTGAGTTAATAAGTTCTTTATTCAGCTTGATTAGTTCTACCACTGGTGCTCTTTATCCCCCCCCCTTTATTCATTGTATTTTTCAGCTTTAGGATTTCTGCTTGATTTTTTAAATAAATGGTTTCAATCGCTGTTACAGTTCATTTTGATTATTGCTTCCCTGACCTCATTCATTTGTTTCTTTGTTGGCATAGTGGGGAAAGGGATGGTCCTGGGCAGTACATTTTTTGGGGCGGAATTATTGCTCCCCAAAATTACATTGTAATAATTTATGCCATTTTGATAAGGCAAAGATTCCAGTTCTGTTCACCAAAATGCCAATGTTTTTCTCTCCACACCATTTTAGTTTTCTATTTAAATAGGTCATCTCATTCAGATATGTCGGAGGGCAGCAAATTGTAGGACTACTAAGAAAAGCAAACTCCATGCCATTGTGTTTCCTTGTGTTTTCTTTAGATGTGCTGAGCTAATATCTTACGGAATCCAAAGATACAGCTGCAATTAAACCCTCAGGTAGAAAAACACTGAAGCTCAAGTTTTCTCTCTGTTCTCAAATCACTGTAGGTCTTTACTTAGCTCTTTGCCATTGCATGTAGCAATGCTGTCTTGCCGGATGCCCACTTTTTATCCTCCAACTCACATTTCTTAAGGGAGGAAAGGGTGTAATGATTGCTATAACTAAAAAAAAAAAATAGGAGAACATTAAATGGAATCCTTTGGAACAAAGTAGGAAATATGGTCATCTTATTGGCTGTGTTCCTATTTATTATTTTACAAAAATGTTCACCTTAGATATTGTTTTATTAGTCTTTATCTCAGCATAAACTCTGTCACCACTTACTCCAAATTGCTCTTTGAATTGAGTTTTAATAAAATATTTTCCTATTAACTTTCCAAATGACTTGAAAATAATACATCTTTAAGAATTTCTTTGAATTGCAGTCAGCTCACTCTGAGGACTACTAAAATTTGTGCATGAAGCCTAGAACGTAGAAGCTTCTCCTAAGTAGATAGTCAACAGAGATCTTCACTTAGCCTCTCAACAACAGTTGGGACAGCAGACCCGAAACTATTATATTTTTTTCTGGTGTCATCTGTTCTGTAGTTCCTTCTCCTAGTCATATACAATATCCGTATTGGCATTGACAAGATTCTTTCATATTTTCTCAGTACTTTAGGTGTTGTCTCGTGTTAATGTCCCTACCAAGGATCTCCCTATGAATTTCTGGATGTGACAGCCATGTGAAAAAGTAGAAAACTCTCCAAGAGCTGCAAGGCTCTCTGCCTCATGATGCCATGGAAGCTAAAGTCTTCAGTAGTTTCACTTCCAAAAAAACTGTTCAGTGATTCTTGTTTTTATACTTCCTGTCGCTTGACTACTAGATGACTGCACCATTCTCATTTTACATGTATTTCTCTAATTTGGAGGGTGGAACTGCCTTCCTTAGACTATCTTTCAACTTTGGTATTTAACAGGGTCCCCTTTGGCCCTTTTACCCTTCCTACCCCGTGCCTTCCCTCTTGACCTGCTCCACTGTTATGGTTTAACAAATTCTTGCTGTTATTTTCACATCTGCAAGTCTCTAGCCGACATCACTCATCTGAATTCAGATCATAGATTTAATTTTCAAATAAACATCTCTGCTCAAAAGCCCTACATAGTTTTCTCTCTCTACCAACTTCACTTCACTCTCTATTCTGTTTCTTTAGAGAAGTCCACCAACGCCATCATCTGCCCCGCTACTCAGTTTAGAAAGCAGGGAGTCATTTTTCTCTCTCATTGCATATAATTCATTTAAAATCTAATTTATGTGTTATTATTAAAACTCATTACTTATTTTGGAATACTGTACATCTTCAATCCTTTCTTACCTTCCATTCCCCAGTGAGATTTTAAAATACCTTTTGTAGGTCAGACAATAGCTCCCCACGTCTTCTCTCTACTTTTTCTTGTAATTCTTCAATCCAAGTATAGGTCTGGAACATACTAGATGCCTAAGACCTTTATCGAATGACTAAATTTAATAAATTAAGAAATTAAATTTAATATTTTCTAACTCACAGTGATCATACGTTTGTTTATGTGTTTATCTCAAATAATTCAGTTTGAATATGTATGCACAATGTCATCCACACAAAGTACATACAATTCAGTTTGTTATTATTTATATTATCCATATATGAGTCCATAGTTCAATTTCTGCAAGACTTCCAACTTAGTAAAAATCGAATCTTTAAAAATAATACAAAAATATGTTGAGTCGTGGAAGAACGAATGCAAATCACAAAGTCTGACAGTTCTCTACACACGACCCATTTTTCTTTATCCCTCATCTTCATTTCTTTTATATTCACTTTGTTATCTAGCAAAATAGACTTTTTCCCTATTTAATAGGGTGAAAAAATAGAAAAGCTGAGCAAACACCAACTCTTCTCAACAGGTGGAGGCAAAGAGTGTTAGAGATCATCGCACATTCATGATTTTTATCCAAACCCGCGTGTGTGCGTGTGTGCGTGTGTGCGTGTGTGCGTGTGTGTGTGTGTGTGTGTGTGGACACTGCTTCTTTGGACTGGGTCAGTCACTCTTCCATACTGGCAGGTAGAAGACATCTTTACGTGAAGGTACCCTTCTCCGATAGGTGACACTTGCCTCCATTCTTCCTTAATCAAACAAAACCAAACCAAACACCCACACCTCAACATAGAGCTCCTCTGCAGATGTCCTTGAATAGTAACTATAAAAATGTGTCTGGCTTCACTGAAGGGAAGAATCCTGGGCTCAGCACTTTGGTTTCTCTCTGTGCAGTTTGTGGTCTCTGTGCTTCAGGCTTCACACATGAGCAAGAGCTGTGTGCTGAAGTGCCAAGAAAAATCACCTCAAAGTGTCTTTATTGCAAGCAAAAAATGGCATTTTGACCTTCGTCAGGGACTGCACTCTTCAACTGTGTTTAATTTTGAAACTTGAATGGAAAAATCCAGTGCATGGGAAGGCCAGTCCTGTGGGACGCTGAATTGGTTCTACTGTCAGAAGGAAAAGGTGGCCACAGAGCACAGAGCTCTGGGGTCCCCACAAGCTGTGCATGCTGTTCGGCAGGGATCCAGCATGTAGACACTTGGATGGCACCTAACCAGTGTTATACATCCTCAGGAAGAGGCACAGCAGGAAACTGCCACTTGGCAGAACATTGTGGGCAAACCAGACTTTGGCTTTGCAACAGCTGATTTAGATTATGGCTTCACAAATTTTCAAGAATAACCTCCTTTTACTTGTTCACTCATGAAATCATAATATTCATATAATTTGGGGACCCTTTACATTTTGGGGTATAATATCCTACCTGAGTGAAGTGGGCAGTGAGGACTCGCCCTCGTCCTCCGCTTGATCTGCTCGGGAATGTGTTCTCACAGTGTCGCGGGGTTGGACGAACGGCTCCTTTGCTTAGCTGTCAGCTGACTGCTGCTGGGTAGCTAGTGCTGTTCAGTGAGCCACATCTGAGTAACAGCGATGTTTAAAGCTCTCTGCCCCAGTAGCAATCACGGGCACTAGAGAATATCTGTCCAGCAGTAGTTATTTCTCAACACCTCAGCTAGCTAGCTTGGCTCCTCCCAGCCGAATAGTCTTCTGTTTTCATACCCAGGCGCGACTGCAGGATGTGAGCTGCCCTACATGCCAGGGTTAGGATGACGTTCACATCTCTCACTGTTCAGGCTACCAGAGGTTGTGAATGTGTCAAAGAAAAGCCCTGTGCAATCAGAGGTTGTTCCTGAACTGTGTCCCCAAAGCCTTCCTTATGATAGCACTCTCTGGGGTATCCACATCTCAGCAGGCCTGAGTCAATCATACTGAGTAAATCTTTTAGTTTCTCATGAAGCATTTGGCATGTTGGATAACAGTGAGTTCCAGACTTCTGTCTCAGACAACCAGATAAGATAGTTTTCTCTCCTCTGCGCTCGGTCTAGTGTATGCTGTGTAACTGTCCTTTCCCACCATTTTCTCTCCCACCTCATTGTGATATTATTTTCAGAGCTTTTTTTTTCCTTTCAGTGTCAACTGACTTAAATTGGACCTACTTCCCTCACTGTGGTAGATCTCTCTGTGTCAAAATATTAAGAAAACAAGACTGGGGAGTTTATTTGAGCTTATTTTTATTGGAAGACATACAAGTGTGTGGAAATTTTTCTCTCCATATCCACCCTCGTGTAGTAAGAGGAATATTGAATACAGCAGACCAAAGGCTCCATTCCATCATTTGTCTAACCTAGAGGCCTCTGAGGGGCTCAAGGTGACCTGCTTCTATAACGAGCTGGTGGAGGGGATATATATTGAAACCATCTAAATATAAGCCCCTCAACTGTATTTAAAGGTATTTTATGATGTCTCAAGAAAAATAAAAGGTTAATAATCTAGGTGTTTCTTTATAATAAGGAATGATACTTTGATCTATTGAGAAGCATCATAGAGTCCTCTTCAGAGAAGGTGTAAAAACGGAACAGATATAATCAGTCTGTGAGAGTTTTAGTAGGATCTGTTATCGGGCACAGGGAGCAAAGGATAGAGCGGCTTCTGTGACTTTGCAGTCAGGTGTTGGGTTTGAGTTTCCAAGTTCACCCATTAGCTGCTGAGCTCTGGATTCCAAGCCAGGAGGTGTGGGATTATAAGGTCTCAGGAAGGGGATCCGAGGCCATCTTTATTCAGCAGCAATATTGTGATACAAGTCAATCTCCCATCAGTGTGAGGAGAAACTTTAACTTCTGAACTACTATCACTACATATTTATATAAGGTTGTGATCACCACCAAAATCAGAGATAGCAAGGTATTCTCATGTATTGTTAAGAGTTTAATGATGTGTGTAGATGACTTACAGAATTTATTATTTGTTTTTATTCTGCAGCCCCCACCTCAGATTTATGACAAACAGCTGGATGAAAGAGAACACACCATTGAAGAGTGGAAAGGTGACTCTACTACTCATAAGTATATATATTTTTACTTTATTGAGACTCGGGACACAGAAAGTATCCAACACTTCTATATCCCATGCTTCTGATACAGAAAGTGCCCCGAGACCTTCTCTTATAAAATAATTTACTAAAAGATGACTCTATTGGGGTTTTTTTTGAAAGATGATTTTTAAATTATCCTCTTAGACCATTTGCAAAGTTTCTGAAACTTCATCTCTTTTCTCAAACTGATAGAAAGTTTGTGTTTCTCATACCGACAGAAAGTTTGTGAGCGAAAGGAATTAATTACTGACACCTTTGCAAGGGGATCGATTGACCTGTTTGTTGTGGAGGCCAAGCTTCAACTCAGAGTTTCACAATTAAACTTTCCTGCTTATGTGCAAAACTTTTACATGAGACATAAAATTCAAATTAAGGCAGAAGGCTTCTTAAAATTTAGGAAGAGGAAGATAGTCATTACATGAATTCATTCACTGAACGTATAAGAGAGTTAAAATAGAAAAGAAGTGCACCTCAGTGGCTCGTTTCTCCTGAAATTAATAAAAGGGATGCACAAGTAGCTTGATCCTTTTTATTCAAAAACACTTCTCCAAACCCATTACATCTTCAATATTTTACCTAGTTTTAAACAAAGCAGAAAGTTAACTCAAACTTGAAAATCATCCTTAAATAATGTAAATAACTGCGGAGTAGAATAGCATGAGAAACCCGAAGGTGAAGATATCAAATGATCAGATCAAAATAGGAAGAAACATAAGTGGACAATTTTAAGGGAAGGAAGTTTAGCTACCTTGAAGGAATTAAATAAATGTAAATTGGGAAAAGAAAAACAGTAAAATATCAAATAGGGGCTATAAGAGGAAAACAAGTGACAGAAATAAGCAAAGCTTACAAGGAGAGCAAAAAGATTTTCCTGGGCAAGGGATCATGCTGGTGCAGATGGAAAACTGAACAAATGCAAAAAGTGAATCAATTAAAAGGCATCCAGAAGGAAAAGGCTCGCTTTGATCTAGCCGAGTTTCCAAGGTTCACAAATAGGTGAGAGAGAGATGCAGCCATCAGGTGAAGAAGATGTAGATGAAATTGGAGAAGGAAGTGTGCGTAAGAGATGATGAGATACATGAGCCTTAAGCTACCACAAGAAGAAGGAGGGCTGAATATTTTTTAACTAAAGGGAGAAAAATTAAAAGAACCTAAGATCCTTTTTTTTTTTTTTTTAACTTTAACTGAGAAAGACAGGAACGGATGCCATTTTGGGAATTAATAAGATGAAGTTTTAGGATGTTGTATTTTAGGCCTGTTTAGATTTACAAATCTAAGGTAGGACTCGGAAAGAAAAATGATGCCAGAGATAGAAGGGGTACAGTCTGGTAATAATTTAACATTGTGAGAAATCGTGCTTCTCTTTGGGCGTGCGTATTTAAAAACGGGTGCTCAAAAGCAGTCGTCAAAATCCTTGATAAATATGTGAGAATATATCAAAAGTGCCCACTCACGGAGATTTCAGAAAATAGTAAAATATATATCGTTCATACATTCAGTTATTAACTGCTTTATTGAGGAGCTATTTTTGCCTACCTCCATCCTAACTGCAAGGAAAAGTAGAACTAGGGGCGTAAGGGATTTCAGTGGATTTTCTAATCGACTCAGCCCCATCAAAGCATTGTTATGTGTTATGAATTAATTTCTCTGTGGATTAAGAAACATTTGCTGTATATAGTAACACAGATAACTGTTTCTTACAGAACTTATTTACAAGGAAGTAATGAATTCAGAAGAAAAGACTAAAAACGGTGTAGTAAAAGGACAGCCTTCCCCTTCAGGTACTCACTCTCAGCGAATAACCAATGAACCAGTACTTGGGTCTATCCTTGACTTCCTGGGAGGGCTTGCAACCAGTAACATCACTTCCTGAATATTTGAGCAAGTATCGCGGGACTGTTTTCCTGTGGTTTTAATTTTGTTTATTCTGATATTTACTGTGACATTCACTCCCAGTATTCTGATTGTAATTGCTCGGCACAGAAGTTCTCTTAGAGCTGGTTTTGAGAGAGTAACAAATGCTGAAGAAACAATGTGGGTTGCTTCAAGCATAAATGGTATTCATAAAACACAGAGACCCAAGGCCCTGTTGGCTACTGATCAAGGTAGAGGCCAGGAATTCCTTGAAATAATTTGCTTGCACTTACTAATGGTAATACAGTTTTTCCTAAGATGCATGTTCTGAATATAAAGAGTTTTAGAAAAGTGGTTTATTTTCACCTTTAAATCACACTCAGCTCAGGCTGGCAAGAATGTCAACTGCAATGACTAGTTTAGAAGGAAACCATTTTGTGTGTCCTACCATTAGTAAAAAGTTTTCCTTCCATTGTGGATTGTTTTAGGAAAAGGGATATAGGATGATCAGCTTCTCATGCTGGTAGTACTCTGTGAACCACTGGCTTGGATCCACAGGCAACCTGATACACAGACAGGTGTAGTCACTACATATCTTTCAAGCAAACTTGAGGCAGTGTTTAGTTCTACCCTGAGTTTTCCTTAGAGAGGGCAAAGAGTGTCACTAGCTTCTGCCTGGCCCACCCTAGTTACCCTTTGTACCATCTGGATTGAGTCTGCAGAAGTTGTTTCTAAATTCTCTATATGTTCCTTCTGCTGCTGATTAAAGAACTCCAAGACAGGCTTCAACATCCATCCAGAAAGATGCCTCGTGATAAGAATTCCTATAAAAATGACGACAGATTTTCTTATAACTAAGGAGCTGAAATACCAGGATCGAGCAAAAGAAGACATTTCGTATGGGTTGGAACACATATTAGTATAAACTATTCTATTGATCGTGACTTCAAATAATCATTACGTCATTTCCTTTCCATACCACCTTATTCCAAAAGACTTTTCATGTTGTCCCAAAGAATAGGATCCTTTTATATTTTCTATTAGTCCCTGTGTTTACAATATTGGACCTCTCATCTTATTATCCCTTGCTGATTATAAGTTCACTAAGAAGATTACACACACATATATATATATATATATGTATATATATGTCTTTGCACACTGCTACATGCTGTGCCTTGCAACAATAATAGCTCAATAAATATTTATTAATTTGAAAATTGCTACTCTTGGCATGTTGCTTGGTGCTATTCCAAAAACAGAATTCAAGACAGGACAATAGCTTTAATTGAGTACACAGTTCTTGCATGGTTATTACAATTATTTAGTCACCCTGATGTTTACCTGTTAGACAGTGACCTAGCTGAATGTACAGTTACCAACTACTTGTCATGAGTGTAAGTTGGCCAAGTGCCAAGTCTAGGAATTGTAACCTTTGACATTTATTCATGCCTCACACACCGGTTTGCTCCTTCACATGTTTTTTTGATTCATTCAATTTGGAAATGTGTATTGTGAATATTTTGCAGGACTGCTTTCTTCAGTGTTAATAATTATTTCTAAAATGCACCAGTTAATGTTTACCTAAGGGAGAAGTGTAAAGCCCTTTTATAACCATGCTAACTACTTGTAACAGCAGGAGGTTATCTGCCTCCTACACCTGCCCTCCACTACATAGTTGTCTGACTTAATCAACTTATATTTCAAGTGATTGCGGATTCAATCTTTCACTACATGATTTTAAAGGAAAATGATTCATAACTAAATGTTGGTAAATTATGTGTTGTATATCCAACATTACATATTTATGCATGATATAGCTGCATGTATTTACATCAAATAGAGGCTGTAGAGCAACTGAGTGTTAGAGCCACTTCTCGTCAGCTCAAGAACCAATTGTGTACATCTCTTCTCAAAGTGACTTTATTGACCTCACTTTGAGAGCTTCAACCAGCTAGGGAAATTTACAACATGGAACTTGGCAGACTACAAATCAGGACATGTTTTCCCCCAGAGAGCTGCTTGTTAAATTTTTATTGATGCATCACTCTGTGTGTGTGTGTGTGTGTGTGTGTGTGTGTGTGTGTGTGTGTATGCAGGAAACTATGCGATAAAGAAAGAGCAATTACTAAAACATCTCTGAAAGGTTGCTTTTTAGATTTTTCATTTTAGCCACCTTTTCCCATTAATGTCTACATACCATATTTTATTGTTTAAAAAGCCAGGAAAAGTAATCTTACAATATAGATTCCCTTACTATTCAGTGGTAATCCCATAGCATGAAAATCAGTTAATGCAGTTCCTCAGGGATGAAATGGTCTTAATACCCAAGCTTGTTGTAGGGATGCTTTAAAAGTGTAAATAGGATGTTAAATGCACATTTGGAGAGTAATTTATGGATTTGAAATTCATTGATGGAATTGTCATATATCAATAAAGAACACATCTAAACTTCAGATACATTCCCCAAAAAACCAATTTTACTTCCTTCTGCCATCTGATTTCACTTGCAGAGTGATTTATTTTCAAGAGTGGTATAGCTGTTTGCTTCCTGAATTGACTTGTAAAGACTGCTGAAGGAATAGTAGCCCATGAGCAGAAATTAATTTTCCTCTTAAAGCGGTTGTTACAGAAGTTAAAGCTGGAACAAAAATAGGAGGTCATCTAATCCAGCAATTCTCTGTTTGTCCCCACCTCTATTTCACGTAGAAGTAAAGTTCTCTCAGGGAACAATGACTCACTGAGACAAAGATGCTTAGCCCTAGGCAGGGCAGAGATTTTTTTCACAATCTTTCAATGACAGATAAATCCACCATGTTTTTAGTACCCATTCCCTCCTTTCCAGTGTGGTCAATGTTCCCCACCATGAGAGTGGCTCTTTCCCAGCTACTGTCACTCATGTAGTCCAATAAGTCATTTTTATTTATTGCTAAAAAACTTCAAGCCCAGATATACTGGGAGGCTCATGATTGTGCAGAGAGAAAAGAATATCAGTTTTTTTTTTTTTGTTGTTGTTGTTTTTAGTTTTTCTTCTCATTCTTTGTATATATCTTTTTATTGGTGGTGGCAGTTGGGGAGGGGGTTGTCAGTAAAATAATTTCCTCTTAAAGAACAGAGCAATGTTTCTCCCAATAACTGACTACTATTTGGTTAGATAACTTCTGGCTTGGAAATTTTTCTTAGAGCAAGTTATTTAGTTTTGTGGATTGTAATGTTTTAAAGTGTTATGGCTCATGCCTAGATGTCTCCCCAAAGCCTCATGCAGTTGTAGGTGGGGCTTTTTCTGAGGTGGCTGGATCTAGAGTGTGGGATTGATTCATGGTGCAGTGCTAGGCTCAAAGGCACTAGGATTAAGGCTGTGAGTGCTACCTGCCCTACGTAGTCTGCATAAGATTTAAGGGGTAGAAAGAGTTGTGGTCATCCCTTGTTGCTTTTTCTGTCTTCTACCACCATGAACTGTGGCTCCTCCGCCATGTACCACCCTGTGTTGGAGCCAGCTGATTATAGAATGAAACCTCTACTGTGAGCTACATAAACCGTTTTCCCCTTTAGCTTTGGAAATCAGGTATTTTGTCTCAGTAATGAGAGAAAAGTAACTAAGACATGAAATAAAGTTGAAAGTAGCTGATATTCCTCATTTGCAACTTTATTAGTATTTTTAGTTACTTCAAATATCATTTTATTGAAAATATGTATTGCTTCATTGATGGGAGAGTATATTATAAAATGCATCTCTCCACTGGTATCTTCTGTGCAATAGAGAAGGTAGGGATAGTTATCACCGTGCTGGGATGTGCTGGGCAAGTGGACGTAACAATCAGATTTGGTCTGACTCAGTTCTGTTTAAGAGATTTTCAGAAACTTCTTGACAGTAAACTAATGTGAAACTAAAGCTCTTGTTCTGCCCATTTTATTTGTGCTTGTTTTTATGGTTGGCAAGGCTTGTTTGTTACCTATATAAAAATAGACTTGAATGGTCTGTGTGAAAGCCAGATGGGACTGCAGTCACTCACTGTACTGCAGTAAGGAAGGGCACACACATCAAATATTACTCATTGAACAGTGGTATTTATTTAACAATCATCTGTAAGAGACAACTGGTCAGTAACACTTTCTGATTTCTGTGGTGTAAGTGTTCTCACTACGACCAATGGCAAGCTCCCAGTGAATGCAGAGTGAGAAAGAGATGCTAAAAATTAGCTCTAAGACTCCATTGGGCACTGCCGTCAACACACCAAGCGGCAGTGGTCTTCATTATCCCTCCACAGCACTACGGAGAGGCCACTCCCATAAGGCAAGCACACGGCACAGTAATTTTTTAGAGAGGAGGCACTGGAAGAAAAGACCTCTCTTGGGTCGGGGATTTAGCTCAGCGGTTTGGTGGCCCACCTTGCAAGCGTAAGGACCCGAGTTCAATCCCCGGTACCAAAACAAACAAACAAACAAAAGAAAAGACCTCTCTTAATTTGTGGTGTAAAAAAATCAGGTACAGTAGTCTGTGGAACCCCAGAAAGGCAGGTTTTGTATAAAGATTTGGCAGATTCTGAAGTTTGAGTAAGTGAAGACTAATTATAAATTTACATTCAATATTGATAAAGTAGAGGCAGGACCCTTCTGACAGCATAAGGATCACAGGGAACCAGATGATGAAGACAAGAAAAAAGGTGATTTTCCTTGGCCAAAACAGTATAGTATCATTGGATCTGTTTTATTCCCAATCCACTGTCAATGAGACTATTTATCCAAATAAACCAGTTGTAGTTGTTTACTAGCAATGAACAAAAGTAATTCCATTTTCCATTATGACAGAAACAACAACAACAACAACAAACCTTAGTAATGAGTTTAATAAAAAAGTGCAAAGTTTGTACTCTGGAAATTACAAAATCACTGTTGAATTAATTAAGTTAAAGAAGTCCTAAGTAAATGGATAGATGGTCCATTATTTGTGGATTGAAATACTCAATATGATAAAGGTGAAAATACTCCCCCAAATTGTCTTTAAAGTCAAATACTATACAAAAATGATGATTGTCTTCTCTGAAGAAATCTAGTCTGAAAATTCAGGTGGAAATACAAGGCACCCGGAGTAGCCAAAACCATCCTGAAGGAGATAAAGGATTCATATTGCCTGATTTCCAAAGTTAAAGACACATAGTCAAGATAGCTTTCTACTTATGTGATGATGTATATCAATAGAATGGAATTGAGAGTCTAAGAATAAATCCTTACATCTGTTATCACTTCATTTTTGACAACTGTGTCAAGATAATTTTACAAGGGAGAAAATAGTCTTTTCAATAAATGGTGTTTGTGACTGAATATTCACCTGAAAAATAATAAAAGTGGACCTCGTCCTATGCAGGAATGGACTCAAAAGGGGTGATAAACTGTAGTGTAAGAACTAAAATTCAAAAATTCTCAGATGAAAACATGGGATTAAACTGTCATGATCTTGGGTTAGGAGATGATTTCTTAGAGGAGACACAAGACAACAACTGGATAAATCTGACTTCATCTAAAACAAAACAGTTGTGCTTCACCATTGAAAACTTTTATTCTATACAATTATTAATATGTGCTAATAATTATAACTAAATATTTAGGCTTGAAAGAAACCTTCAAGAAGCAAAAGGATTATTCATGGGGGCAAAACACTGGCCAGCCACGTGCCTTAGAAGTGCTGCATCTCTATGAAATGCTTCATAATGTTATAAAATGCTTCTACAATTCAGTTATAAAAGAAACCTAATTAAAAATGGCTGAAGGTTCTGAATAGACTTTCTCTAAAGAAGATACACCAATCAATAAACACATTAAAAGATACCGAACATCATTAGCTATTGGCAAACAAAAATCAAATCACAGAGAGACACCATTTCACACACACTTACAATGGCTATAATCATTAAAAAATTACAGTAAGAAGCATTAATGAGGTGAAATTGCAACCCTAAACCTCCTGGTAGGAATGTGAACTTGTGCACCCAAAAATAGTTTCAAAAATAGTTTGGCAGCTCCTCAAAATGAACTCAAAGAGAATTAAACATAGAATTATTCTGTGATGCAACAATTCCATTCCTTGATGCCCAAGAGAAATGAAAATATATTCATACAAACCTTTTACATAAACATTCATAAAAACGTTGGGTATAATAGTCAAAAAAGTTTAGACAACCCAAGTGTTCATGAAATTCCCACTAACTAATACACAGGAAAACCAAAGTTAATGCATCCTTATGATGGTGATGGACCATTCTTTCTCTTTATAAAGGGACGAAATACCTGCCACAACATGCATGAACCATGAGAACATGTTGCTTTCTGAGAGAAATCAGTCACAACTGATCTCATACTGTGCACTTCCACTTACATGAAATGTTCTGATTAGGCAGTTTATAGACAGACGTTGACGAGGCCTAGTCTGGGGCTGAAGGGTGGGCAAGAAAAGTGTTCCTTTTTGGAGTGATGAGAGTGCTACAAAGTTGATTGTGGTTATGGCTGTGCAGCTCTGAATATACTAAAAATCTCAAGTTACAAATTAAATTTATAAAGTATATAGTATGTCACACACCTTAATAAAATGCTTACAAAAAGATATATGGGCAGGATTTCACATCTCAAGGCAAAACTAAATCTAGACTATAGCACCTCAATTTGAAAGCCATTTGTAAGAAAGGAATATATTATCCAGAGAGAAATGCCCAGTAAGACAAATGCAATCTCCCTGTTGGACCTGTGATTCATCAGGCATTTATTAGTCTTGTGTTTGATCTTAATCTCTACCCTTTAATAAAGATGTGGAAAAATTGAAGAGGATTCCAAGAAGTCCATTTTAGTAACACTAAATGCTTAGATCCTAGAGCTTATGAAAGAACCTGAAAGGTGTGGGTGTAATTTAGTCCATAACTGGGGAAATACAGAGCTGGGAACTCACAGTGTATATGGGGATCAAAGGTTGTCTGTATCATGAGAGGCATTGTACTGTACTAGCTCTGCACTATTTCTCTAAGGAGCATAATTGTGTAAAGTTGAAATAGAGTGAAGCCAGATAAGTTAGCATTACATATTGTTTTGATAGTAAGAATTATTATTTATACAATATAATAAAACATTAAAAATCTCTTCTGAAGATGAAGGTGGTGGTACATGCCTGTAATCTCAGTACTCTGAGACACTGGGGAAGCAGAGCCCTGCTTCAGCCATTAAGCAACTTAGATCTCAAAATAAGAAAGAAAGTCAGAGGTCATCCCATGTGAGAACCCTAAATATAATTCTCAGTACAAAACAAAAACAAAAACCCCCCAAAACCTCTTCTGGAGATATTTACCTTTAAATATCTTTATTAAATATATTGAGAATTTTAGAAGTTTAAAGAACATGAACAATGTTAAGTTTAAGCTTTTCTGTATATGAAAACGTCAGCGTACAAAGAACTACATAGAAAATGATCAAAACTAGGGAAACTTCCTAGCAAAAAGACTAGAAAGAAATAGACCTGAAGTTTAATGGCTTGTAGCTTTAGTTGGAGGATCAGTATGTATTCTTTTATTACTTTTACACACTTCCCATTGCTAAATAAATATATTTACAATCAACAAGTAAAACCTTAAAACACATGTAGGATCAACACGAAGTGTCTTCATTTAGGCTTCCAGTCCTCCCTGGCTCCTGTCACATTTGCATCACGTTTTTCCCATGGGCAAGAAATGTCGACTCCAGGCACGAGGAATGTATGGATTGCTGCTTCTTTGTTTCATTTTGTTTACTAGTTTTTAGGTCTAGGTAATAACACTATTGTTATTTTGAACTTATTATTTTTACCAAATCCATCTTGCGTACTTTTTTTTAAAAATGAAGTAATTTAAGTGAGGATTCCCAACCTTTTAGTAGGTGATTATATGGTAGACGTTGTTATTAGAAAGCTGTTTAACAGTGCACGTGTTTTGTTACTGATATCGCCGAGTTATAAAGAACATAGAGAAAGGAAATTGCCCATTTCAAGGAGCTAGGGTTTAATTATATTTTACAGTGCCTTTGGTTCATCTTTTCTTTTTCAGAGATATTGTAACTCAGCAAGTTTTTAACTGAACTTCTTCTCAGAGTTTCAACATTGTTATGTTCCCACGGAGCAAATAAATAAAATCATTTTCTGAATCTAAGTTGATAATTCAGAGTCATTTGCAGAGTCCAGTAATCAAACCAGCTGGAACATAAATACATAATAAAAAATTATGCTCTGACTTCTGTTTGTTGTAGTTTTAGTCAGAAGTCCTACTTTGCTTTTCAATGTGGATTTTAAATTTGATATCATCAATGACATGTAATAATGTTTACATTATTACCTTCCTTTTTCTCAACCTGTAGTCTCCATGTAATTCAGATTTTTGCTTGTATGTCTGGGATCATTCCCTTGTGTGGCTTCATCTCAAAAACATAGAGAATTGAAAGCATACAGGGTCAGATTATTACATTAAGGGATTTTTATCTATCTGTCTTCTCATAAAGCAGCGTTTTTTCAATTCCCCATTATCTATACAGTTTCTGGGCGGCTATTTCAAAATGCACAAACCTCGGGCTATCACACAAGACTAATTATATTATAATAATGGAGGACCTAGGGTTGTAGGGGTTGAAGGTGCTATGAGTGTGAGTGTGAGTGTGTGTGTGTGTGTGTGTGTGTGTGCGTTTAAAGTGCATTGCAGATGACTGCTAACACAGACTGAGACTTGGTAACTCTGCACCTGCCTTGAATAACCTGTAACCAGGGGCTCTGCACTGTTTCATCTTGATTTTCCCTATCTGACAAAGTTCCCACATACATGATTCTGTGAATGTTTGTGGAATGAATTCCCTCTTATGTGTGTCCATCCAGACCTCTTGAGTGGCATTCAGCTGGGTCTGGTTCCAGATTTAGTCATGTTGATCTTCATTTTCTTAGCACAGGTGCAGCAGTGAACAGCAGTGAGAGTCTCCCTCCATCTTCGTCTGTCAACGACATCTCCTCCATGTCCACCGACCAGACCCTGGCGTCCGACACTGACAGCAGCTTGGAAGCTTCAGCAGGACCCCTGGGTTGTTGCAGGTGACTAGCCGCCTGCTTGCGAAACCCAGCGTTCTTCAGGAGATGAGGGGATGGAACACACACACACACACACACACACATGTAGACACACATGCTGAGAAATCAGCAAAGGAGAGAACCCAAGCCTACAATGGAAACCAATCTTTTAGCCTGCTTCTTCTCCAAAGTTCTGTATTGTACCTAAGCTCAAATGTATATTTAACTTCTAGTTGCTCTTGCTTTGGTCTCCTTCCAACGATGCTTACTACAGAGAGCAAATCAAACCCAAATTAGAGAAGCCTTTTCCATAAAGTGTCATTTAAATGGCTGCAAAACCAGCAACCTGTACCTGCCCTTTGGAATGGCCTGTCGAGGTGTGCAGTGGCCCTATCAAGCATGTGTGTGTCTCTATCTTGCATCTACCTGCTCCTTTGGCCTAGTCAGATGGATGTAGATACAGATCCGCATGTGTCTGTATTCAGACAGCTCTACTTAGAGATGCTGCTGTCAGTGTCCTCAGGGCTCTACCGAGACATCGTGCACTGGGGCACCACATGGTCCATTTCACGTGATCTATTACCCTGACATAAATCCATCTGTAATATATTGCCAGTATATAAGCTGTTTAGTTTGTTAATTGATTAAGCTGTACGTCTTATAAGAATACATGTTAAAGGGAGAAACCTGGGGGGCGTGAGCTCTCAGACCTTGAAGATGTAGCTTCCAAATTTGAACTGATTAAATCGCACCTGTATACCAATTTTAGAAAGAACATATGTGATACTTATGTACAGTGTGTGTGGGGTGGGGGGAGCTCTCAGGCGCTAACTGGGTCGGCCTTGGGCATGAAGGTGTGAACAGTGGCGGACTAGAGAGTGGTGCTGCAGTGTGGACTAAACAGAGAGGAGACAATTGCACAGAGGCCAGGAGACACTGACACCTGTATTTTAAAGAGCAGAGTCCATTTGTCATTTCTAAATTCCATGTCACAGCAGGAGGCTACTGGAGAGAGGGTGCAGGGGAGGAGGGTTGCTGTGTCAACATTTGACAGTGAGAATCCTTAACATGCCAGTTCCTTACCTACCTGAGTGGCTCAGACAGTGGGTTGCTTTTTCCAGTGTGGGGTGCTTCTCAGGTTCATGGCCTGCCGTGGTTCTATTCTGAGAAGAAACATTGCTTCCCTCTTCTAGAACAAAGCCAAATTAATGAATTTAAAGGAAGCCCCCAAAGCACATCTCCAAAGACAGCCTTGTTCCTCGGGAGTTGCCCTGACTCTTTCAGATGACTGCCGTTTCCTGTTTGTTTATTTATTTCATAAATTTTAACAATCTAAGAAGGGCTGAAAGTCTGAATTTTGTGCTACAGTGGATGTGAGAGCAATAACTGTGCCCCTAAGTTACTGTTGCGAAACCAATCGCGTTAGCAATATGAATTTGTCTTAAAGCCATGAAGCGTTAATGTCAAGGTTTAGTGAAATCACCTGAATTTAACTTATATCAAATGAAAATGCTTTCTTGGGCACTTCAGAAGGGATTGTGGAGCATGGAGGTTTTCAGATAGGGCCATCCAAGCAGGACTTCTCAGCAATAACTGCCTCCGGCTAGGCTTCCCTTCTTACTCACTTTGGTGAAGTATCTATCACCGATATTTGCACTCCAGCCCCCTTGGTGCTCGCCAGTGTGGTGGTACTCACCCGGGGAAGAAGTAAAACACACAGAAGGGACTGTTGGTGAGTGTGGTGTGATCAGGACGTGGGAACGCTTCTGAAATAAAGCAAACAAGAATGCCAGTGCTCCGAAAACTGCCTTAAATCCAACAGCAGGGATGCTCCATCTGTTTCGAAGCAATAGAGTCCGCAGGGAACTGCACCCACTCCCACCTCAGCTTGAGCAGCCACTGTTTGGGGATCGCTTCACACAGTAGGGTTCATTGCAAGAGGTGGCTTGTTTAGAATGCAGAGAACACATTGTTCAGCTTGTCCCCTGGAATAAAAATACCCCACTCTCTCTCTTGCTGCCATTCTTTTCGGTGAATATTTCAGACTTTAAAAGCTGCCTCCTCCTTCACATGTCTCTTCTCCCTTTTCCTTGTGTCATAGTTCAGGTTTTTGAACTTCCCTTCTCTGTACCACTATTCTCTCTTTTCTCTGTACACTGCTCTTGACATATCTGTGGCCTCTCCACTCCTCTCCCCTGCACTGCTTTGTACCATACAGGGCTAAGTGCAGCAGTCAGGCAGCAGCTTGAAAGGCATCTAAGGGGAATTTCGTGAGCTGCGTGAGGACAAGAGGCAGAAGGAATCTCCAAAGCATCTTGGAAACGTTTGACAGTCAGGATGTCTCTCATGTCTGCTAACCTGGTCGTTACTTTTCTGAGTAGACCGGTCAAGAACTACACAATTCCAGGTCCTAGCTGTTGGCACCTTCCCTGGGCCCTGGTCCTCATCTATTTCCTTCTGTATTGCTCTTGTTGGCTGGTTGCCTTTAGTCAGAGGTCCCCTATGGACAGGAAAAAAAAAAAAAAAAAAAAAAAAAGAAAAGAAAAGAAAAGAAAAAAAGAAACAAATCTCTTGGAGTTACATAGCATTTACAAAAAGAGGTAAGAATTTGAACTGCACTGGGAGATGGGATGACCAAGAGAATTACTACTTAAAAATCCCATTGTTCTTCACGCCCTTAGGTGCCCTTTGTTATAATAACTTTGAAAAATGGTTATGATAAAATTCAGAATGAATTATGTCCAGCATTGAATCTTCTTAAGAAGCAAAACCACCAAAATATTTCCTATATAGTTACTTGTTATTTCCAAAGGATGTTCTTTCACTTTGGGCAGAAATGGTAAGTCACCCAGACCACATTTCTGAGAAAGGGGAAGGCTCTGCTTCTGGTGGGGCTCACTTTGTACTATGAGTTAGCACTCCAAGGAGTTTAACCTTCTGTCCTCTCCACAGGCCGTTGGCTTCATGGTGACCCTTGACAAAATGTTCTGTAGTTTTCCCCAGAAGGGATGGGTGTGTATTCATGCATGTGCAGGAACAAGTAAATTATGAGAACTTAGCAAAACCAACACCAGTGTAGATATGTCATTGCTATTTTTATATGTGTTGTGTGGACCAGTATGGTCATTTTTACAGAGGGATGCATTGGCCTTCCAACAAAATTTCTTCTTGTGGAATAAAAACTGAAAATATGTCATCTTTAAGAATCAAATGTTTGGGCTTTCTAGAAGGTAGGTAGCTCCCAGTTGGTCCGGGGCCAGGCCAATTCCCACCCATTGGAGGAAGATATTTAATGCATGGCAGAGAAGTAGGATAGTTTCCCTCAAACTTTTATCATTATCAGAAAAATATTATCTAAAGATAATGATCACTATGGAGTGGCAGATTAGAAAATTGGTCTTGGCAAATGGGACAAATGGAATAGATAAGAATGCATAAGTCTTTTTGTGATCCATCTGGAAAAGTACAATAAAGCTGATTTGTAACATTTTAAATATTCATTGTAGAACTTAAATTACGCGAACTACACTTCTATTTAATTCTCTTAACATGTGACAGTCTGCATCTTAAAAGCACTATCCGCTGTATACTCTGTAAAGAATATTACCATCTAGTTTTGCTGGAAAAAAATATCTTCTACAACTCAGTCAGAGGATTAAAATTGCTGTAGGAATTCTGGATACCAGCCTGTGGGTCTGAAGAGGAAGCAGCTCCCTGCTCAGTCCTTCACACACATTTTAATTATAAAAGCCCAACAGTTTTCACAGACATCATCACTAAACTAAGGGAAGTCAGTTGTATAAAAACAAAATAGTCACAATGTAAATAGTTAAATCAGTTATTTTCCTTGTGATAAAATATAAAATTTCCTTATTTCTTTTGATACTTAGTTCTCTGATGAAACTGAGGTGGAAGGCACCTGTTTATATATGGACTCATGTCTATCTAGCTTTCAATTATGTGGGACTGATGGCCAGTATAGCCTAAAAGAAATAAAGCCCCCAGTCTGTCTGTCACTCTGTTCACCCTGCCATGTCCATCTTGCAATGATGCCTAACTTGCACCTGCCTGTGATTCTGCATGCTTGGACACCAAAGACCATGAGCAGTGATGAGAACTGTCCAGCGTCAGTGTTTAGAAAATGCACCCAGAGCACACGCTTACACATACATGTACATATGTGTACACATGCACCATGGAAGCCAAGACCATATAGGTCCTGTTTCTTTGTGAGAACTAACGTCTGCTGGCCTGGTGGATAAAAACAGTCTCTGTGATGTTTCAGAAGGACTTGGGATCATTCGGGTCATTTTTGTGTTCTTTCCCACATTCTCTGATTTCTGATGCTTGTGGGACCAAGGACAAGTTGGAGGAGAACTGTGGCTTCTTCCAACGCTTCCTGGGTAGATGTTGAGTGAATACATTGTGATTTGTCTCTTGTGAATTATTAAACCAGAGGAAATCTGTTCCCCTTCATATAAAGCCAAATCCAAACCTAAAATTTGTTGGAGTTTTCCTGTTGCCATGGTTACTGTGCGGTCTGCCTCGGTGTCACACGCCGACCTGGTAGATCTGGAGAGTCTCCCGAACTCACATTTCCAACCCTGGGGAAAAACCTTGCTGTGTGGTCTGTGCCCTGTGCCGGGAATCAGTAGGACACAAGGAGTGGCCCTGCTTCCTCACGGTGCTCGAGCAATCATCACGTGAATGTGACCGTGCAGAAGACTGGGTTTTGACACTGATATGTCCTAGACATCACCTTCAGTTCTCTCCGCATATACCAGTTGTGTATCTGCCATCCAGTTTATTATAAAGTATAAAATCAATAAAGGAAACAAAAGTCATTTGTCTGGAGGCATTAAGTAAGGGGAATGTGGTTAAAATGTCCTAGGTTAATTGTCAGAATCCTTACTCATTCTAATTACTATCTAAGAGCATTTGTCTATGTGGTAGCAAACCTTAATATTTCAAATTCCTGGGTGAACTTAAAATATGACTTTGTGGCTAGATAAAGAGGTCATTGAACTTATACTACTTTTATCTGTCTGTGTCTGATAAAACTTATGCTAGTTTTATCTGTCAATGTTCAGGATTTACCTTATTATTTCTGTAAATAATATATTTTATTTAACCAATTATGAGAAACTCTGAAACATAAACCTCCATTATTTTGAGTTATCAAACTTATTTTTTTTTTTTTACTTATTTAAGGAAAATACAGACCAGCAGTCTTCATTATCTCTGGAATAGCTTCTATTTCAATTTTGATCACACTTTGAATTTTACTAAAAAAATAGTTAAAATGATTAATTGTGAGTACTAGAAAATACCCACAAGTACAAAGGAAAATTCTTTTCTGCAAGATGATCTTCCTTGGAGAGAAAGAGTCAGAGGCTTTATTAGGATGTTCCAGGTACCATAAAGTGTTATCAAATATGTGGTATTTCTGGTCAACTTTGCAGTGAGGAAACGTAAGGGCTGTGGGGCCTTGCTCTTTTGAAATTACTTATGAAGCAACTAATCTTGAAGGATGGAAGTACTTGCTCAATAATAGCACTGGTTATAGCCAAGGTAGAGGTTTTGGATATTATTCATTCACCACAATGGCATTTTATACCATGCCATTTCTGCAAGAGAGCTGAAAGGCATGTGTGGATGGCATAGGCAAGTCGTGGTTCACACATACAGAAATAAGGCACTTGGGAGGCTGAGGCAGGAGGATCGCTGTGAGTTCGAGACCAGCCTGGGCTGCATATTGAGTTCCAGGTCAGTCTCAACTACATAGTGAGACCCTGTGTCAAAAAACCAAAAAATTAAAAAAAAAAAAAATAAATAAAAATAAGACAACACCCCTTTGAAGTTTGGTGCTCCCTTATGTCAAATATTTTCTTTAAAATATCCCTTTTTCGGGCAGGGGATTTAGCTCAGCGGTTCCAGCACCTGCCTTGCAA